TTCAGCAGAGTGCCTGTCAAAATCCCTAAGGCATTTTTTGCAGTAAAGCTGATCCTTAAATTCCTAGGGAATTTCAATTTTCCTAGAACATCCAAAATGGTATTGAAAAAGAAGAACAAAGAACTCATGTTTCCTAATTTCAAAACTTACTAAAAAGGTCAGTAACCAAAATAATATAATACTGGTATCATGGTAAACATGTGGAGCAATGGAGTAGAAAGGAGAGTCCAGAAATAAACCCACATGTCTATGAACAAGTGATTTTCCACAAAGGTGCCAAGACCATTCAATAGGAGAAAAAATAGTCTTTTCAACAAATGGCGCTGGGGCAACTGGGTATCCATATGTAAAATAATGAAGTTGGACCCCTTTCTTGCACCATATACAAAAATTAACTGAAAATGGATCAATGATCTAAGTATAACAAGTAAAATCATAAAAATCTTAGAAGAAAAAAATAGGGGTAAATCTTTATAACCTTGAATGTAGCAGTGGATTCTTAAAAATGACACCTTAAGAGCATAAACAACAAAAGAAAAAATAGATAAACTGGATTTCATTAAATTAAAAACTGCATGCATCAGAGACAGTATTAAGAAAGTGAAAAGACAACCTACAGAATGGTAGAAAATGTTTGCAAACCACGCATCTGATAAGGGTTTAGTATCTTGAATATGTAAAGTACACTTACAACTCAACAACAAAAAGGCAAACAACACATTAAAAAATGGGCAAGGGCCTTGAACAGACATTTCTCCGAAGAAGACATGTAAATGGCCTACAAGCACATGGAAAGATTTTCAACATCCTTAGTCATGACGGAAATGCAAATCAGAACCACAATGAAATACCAATTCACACCCACTAGGATGGCTATAAGTTAAAAAAAGACCCCAGAAAGAACAAGTGTTGCTGAGGATATGGGGAAATAGAAACTCTCATACATTGTGTTGGGGATGTAATGGTTCAGCCACTGTGGGAAAAAATTTGTAGGTCCCTCCAAAATTAAACATAGAATTACCATATGACCCAGAAATTCTGCTACTGGATATATACCTAAAATAATTAGAAACAGGTACTCAAATAAATACATGTACGTGCATGTTCACAATAGCACTGTTCAAAAGAGCCAAAAGATGGAAACAACCTAAGCGTCCATCCGAGCACAAACGGATGAACAAATTGTGGAATATCCGTATAATCAAATACTATGCAGCCCAAAAAGGAATGAAGTACTGATGTTTCTACAATGTGCGTGACCCTTGAAAACCTTATGTTAAGTTAAAGAAGCCAGACACAAAAGGTTACACCTTGTGTGATTCCATTCACATGAAAATCCACAGGAGGTAAATCCGGAAAGATAGAAAGCAGATCTTCGGTTGCTAGGGGCTTGAGGGAGAGAGGAATAGAGAGTTACTGCATAATGCTTACTGGATTTTCTTTGAGGATGATGAAAATGTTTTGGAATCAGTTAGAGGTCATGGTTGTACAACATCGTGAACGTACTAAATGCCACTAAGTTATTCACTTTGAAATGCCTAATTTTATGTAATGTGATTTCACTTTAAGAAAAGAAAAAGAAAGAAGAAACAAATAGTGAATGTCTCAGACCTACTAAAGTTATCTGAGTTTTTTACTAATCTTATAGTTTTATTTTTAATTTGAATTTTAGTTTTAACTTGAAAGAAATAGTATAACCATAGTGTTTTATATCATTTTAAATAGGAAGCTAAATATTATTTTTTATCACTGTTTTAAATCAAGCTAATAGAAATCCACTGATAGCACCTATGTGAACTGCCAATCATTTTGTAATAACATAGTGGATTAGTAGTAGTATGCTAGTCATATCAAACACAAAATGATATAATTTCATATCTGAATGTCGCAATTTACATTATAAAATTTTGTGAAGTTCTAATTCTGTAAAATATAAGTGACCTACAGTGTCAGAATACGCATCTTTGTTTTAATTGGCTAGTGGATAAAATTCCATTTATCTGATACATAGGAAGGAGATTTTAAAGGATAATATAAACCTCCGATAACCTTACAGACTTTGCTGCCCTCTAACATTTGCCTTGCTAATAGAATAATAAGGAGAGCATAAGAAGAAAAGATAAATCAAAGTATAAAATGAAATTTAAAAAATTAAAATGGAAGCATAAATACATAAATTTATTTATCCATTTGACACACATTTATGAGGATATGCCAAACATTGTAGTAGAGACTGAGATTTAATATTAATAATTCTAATTTAAGAAGACATGACAGCATTTGGGGTTTTAGTAAGAGAAAGTGAAACCCCACCCAATAATAATTTATTCCTATAAATAATGCTTCATATGTATAAAAATCTTATTTTTGTAACTTAGCTTCAGTGGAGAATCACAAAACAGGAAGAAAAATAAAACTCTTATTTTAGAGTTAAATTTGTAAAAATCAATCCCTTGTGTGTGTGTGTGCATGTGTGTGTATGCACGTGTGTGTATTTGAGAGTGAGTGAAAACAATCATATTAGAGTAAATACCACCTTATTTTGCAGTATACTGGTTTATTTCAATCCAGTAGGGAACTTCCAGTAGATATCTTCCTTACGACATTAATAAATGGTACTGAAGAGTCTTTATCTCTGCTAACTTAGGATATTCTAGGGAAAAGGAGATTGTTCTGTTCAGTCCACACAATCTCATTAACTTTTGTTAAAATGTCTACAAAACCATGGATGTTTTCTAAGTTTTATGAAATAACTAAGTTATCAATTCACAAAAGACACCTAGCCTAGTGTTTTGCTACAAGCAAGATATTCTTTAAAATAAATTATTTTCATATTTTATAAACAAATATAACATTTCACATACAAAAGAGTTAAATTTTTCCATATATCTGAAAGTCTCTACAGACACATAAGTTTTTGCTAATGGCTACACTGAAAATTAAAATTTCTAGTGTATCTCAGATAGCAAAGATGTGTAAGAACAATGAGAGAAAAACAGGAAATGATCCTATTTACATCAAATTATACTATTCTATATTTAAATTATTACTATTTTACAAAAGTAAAAGCATAGATATAATTATTGCTTATTCTTAAATTATTTAATAATTTAATTGAGTAAAAGAAGAATTTGGAAGAAAAATAATGAATGAGGAAAACTTAACAAAACCATAGGTTTGCCTGCTAAACCACTGAAGGGAAATAAAATATATTTGAGGACAAAGTTCTAAGTGAAATAAATATAATGTCATTCCTTAATTCTTTACTGTCAGTAAAGCAAATTCATTAGGAATTGACTTTGATGGCCTTTCCACTTTCAGATTAATTCATCATTTTCCTGAGACACATCAATTACCACCCTGTCACATTAACTTTCTGAAAATGACCCATTATGTGACCTGAATGAAGGGAGTCAGTTGCCAGAATGATTTAAGAAAACAAGCTTCCAACGCATGTCAGGAGACGCATGTCGACACGTCCATGGGGCTTTACCCAGTGGAATACTGACCACTTTCTCCATACTCTTCACTTTAAAAAAGGTATTATTTACAATGGAAAATGCATATACTGCATATCAACTGAAGAATGAAGGCTTACGAACACAAGAATCTGTGCCATCCACTGAGTAAAGCAAATCAACCTTTACAGGATAGGCATCATATTTAGAAAAATGGTTGGGAATGGCAATTCTACTTTTCCCCATTACAGCAAACTCAGGACGTAGTTTGATAAATATTAGGTTATATGTGTTTGTTCCCTCTTTATTTATTTTTATTTTTTGTGAGGAAGATTGGCCCTGAACTAACATCTGCCAATCCTCCTCTTTTTGCCCAGGAAGAGTGGCCCTGGGCTAACACCCGTGCCCATCTTCCTCCACTTTATATGGGATGCCGCCACAGCACGGCTTGACAAGCGGTGTGTCGGTGCGCGCCCGGGATCCGAACCGGCGAACCCCGGGCCACCGCAGCAGAGCACGCACTTAACCACTTGCGCCACTGGGCCGGTCCCTGTTTGTTCCCTCTTTAGTTATTTTGTTGTCTTCTCAGTGGATAGTGGGCACAAACCCCACTTTTCATTTCCTTTTCTCTCATCTGTCTTCTCTTATTCTTTGTCCGCCTGAAAGTTCAAAGAAGTGAACGAGGAGGAAGGGGAAGGGTAAGAGCTAGGAAAAGGTCTAGGATTGCTGGAGTCCTTACAGTTTTGTTTTGCTTTCTTTTCACCAAGCCATGGGGCAAATATTCGTTTTTCAATCCCAAGATTACCCGTTTTCTTGAAACTCCCTTCTCTCTGTGCTTCTCTCTTAGGCGTGGTCCCACCTCCCCTATGTTAATGTGAGGTATCTGTTGATGCCACTTTCTAGAGGCTACCCTCTCTCAGTGCACGTCCATGGAAAATCATCCACCCTCAGCTCTCCAGGACTGTGATTCATACACACCACTGATTACTGTTCTTATATCACCAATACCTCCATTCCTTTTTTGTAATTCATTCATCTCATGAATGTTTTTGAGGGCCTCTCTGTGAAAGGAACTGTGGTAGGTTGTAGGCATACAGAGGGTAGCTAAAGAAACACCACCAAGGGCTGCCGGGACCTGAACCTGAAGCACGTCTTCAAGCAGGGGAACAGGCCAGCGCAGGGGTCGGAGTGTAACGTATGCTGCTCTACGAAACATGGTGCCGGCTGCACTTCAGATGCGTCCTGTTCAAATTCATATGTGCTTGTTTAATGTAACTACCAGTTTTGCATTTAGGAAAAAGGGCCTGTACATATACAGAGGTTGTCGAAGGGAGGAAATGGCTCAAACCACTGGCCAATATAGTGTTCAGGACTGAGAGAGACCAAGATGCCATGCTGTTCTTTGAATTTCCCAACTCTGCAGAGTTGTAGTGTTGCCTAAATGGACAAATCTAAGTTAATTGTTGGCTTAACTGACAGATGCATGAGCTTGATTATCTCAGAGAAATCTGGTGATGGAATAAATCTACATAGGAAACGAGATTATTCTCCTAGAAAGAGCAGTCTATGTGAAGATCCTGTGGTAGGAGAAAGCACGAAGACGTTCAGGGCCTAAAAGGCAAGAGTGGGTAGAGAAAAGTAAGCAAAGAAGAAAAATAATTCTGGTAGCAGAGTAGAAACGAATTGTGAGAGGGCGATTGGCTGCAAGGCTGCAGAGAAATCATTAATAATTGCCGTAGTCTAGGTCCTTGCGAGAGTTCAAGTGTGGTCTGTGGACCAGCAGCACCAGCGCCAGCTGGAAGCTTCATAGAAATGCAGAATCTCAGGTCTTACCCCAGACCTGCTGAGTCAGAAAGAATCAGAATAGGGTTGAGAGTGCAGTATATTTGTATCTTTCAATGAGAACAAGAAGCTATCCGTCAACTTCCAGAAAATACGATCTGAGCTACTTCATGGCCTGATGGTGATTAAAGTGAAGTGTTCATGAGAAAGGTTGTCTATTGGGTTCAAAGTGACAGCCATGGTGGCCACACCCCCCATGAGTTTCCCAAAAGAACTTCCAGCTATGCTTCCGTAAATTAGAGGCAAGAAAATATGAGAGACTGAGAAGAAGACATGGGCACACCTAAATAATATGGAGAAATACTGAGAATTTGGATAAAATTGGGTTAAAAAATTTGGATAAAAATACAGAAACAGAGGATACATGAGATTATAGAAAACATTGCAATCCTAATGGAGGGGAAGGATTCTTCTTTGGAGAACAACTATTTCACCTGTTGTTACCTCTATTAACCACCTGCCAGTCACCACTTGGCCTCACCTCTTACTTGGTATGCTCTTCTCCAGCACCTCCTACTCTGGATCTGGAGCTAAATTAACAGCACTGGCCTTACCAGGAACCTTGAGAAACATTCAGAATCCCAGGCCCCCCCCCAGACCTACTGAGGCAGAATCTGCGTTTTAAGAGATCTCTAGATTACCCCTTTGTACATGACATTTGGGTATGCAGATTAAAGTATCTCAAATGCAGTTGTTAATCCCTGAATTCCAGATAAATAAATATAAACTAATCCTCATAAGAAAATTCGTGATTCCTGGTATGAATGATATAATGCTAACAATGCAATTTTTAGAAATATAATTATTCTAAATGAGCCAATCCCATGTAATCTCCAGCGTCACTCATATTTCTTATGCTGCTGGTTATGATAGAAATGTGCTATTAGTTTATGTCAAGGAAAACCTAACCAAGCTATAATTTTATAACTTCTACAATGAGTGAGTACTTTAGGACTTTTATAACCTAAACCCTATACAGTATAAACTTCTTGGTAGGCCCCTAATATTTCATAAATTTATTTTTGACAGTTTATCAACATTACAGTAGTAGTCAAAGAACTACTTACACTATAAGTATTATAATTTATAATATATTCAATCAAGTTAATTGTTGGCAAATGAGATACAATTCCAGCTATGGCATGACTTCAGTGTTCTTTTCTAGTCCCTACCTTTAGAATTTTTCACTATGGACACATTCCTTCCTCTGGATGTTAGGCTTATTGTGATTTTCAGTTTATCATTAAGCTTCTTTTTCTGGCCTTATTCCCACCTAACTCTGGAGAGTATCACTGACCTCAGGCTGTAGATTCTAGGATTCATAACTTTGAACAACAGAACATGAGCCCTTGGAAGTTTCTGCTAAGGAATTTCCCCCTCGTGTTTCCATGCCCACCTCAATAAGAATAGTGCCCTGAAATATTGTCTTAGTTTTGAGCTTCATTAATTTTAGGCTGTTCTCAGCAAATACTTTTAAAATAGTTTAGGATTAATCATTCTTATTATTTTAATTTGTCTTTGCAGTATACACTCCATTAATGATTTCCTCCATTTTTAATTCATTTGTTTTCACCCTCATCACAGAGAATATACTGATTCTCCTCACCATTATAAATTCACTTATTTACCCTTTTCTTCTCAGTGCAAAACTCTCCTTGTTTGACTCAAGTGCTTAAAAAAAGACTCTCCTGAACCAATATCATATAAAATGACTAACAAAAAATAGAAGTCTTCCAAATAATATAAAAATTTAATGTTATGACTGCTTCTAGACACTGAATCTTAGATATCTAACATGGTACTTTTGTATATAACTTTTAACTTGAAAAAAAACTAAAGTGTTTTTTTTCTTCTTCTAATGATGATATAATACATAATTCCTAAACAGAACTACTGTCTAACATCAGAATGTTTTAATCTCAATAAAATTCATAACTTTGATGTAGTTTCTGTTTATGATTAATACTTAACCTTTAAATGATTATTTTAATCTGTATGTCTCTTTTTCAAAACTAAATACAAATATTAATATCAGCTAAACGCAATTATTTTTGTATCTAGCAGATTAGTTTCAAACAAAAACTTCTAACGGGCTATCTAATTTCTGTACCCATCTATAGTCTCAAACCGTAATTTCTCTATTTTTTGAATTATAATGCCAGGGTATGTTCAGGGTTTTTCTTCCAAAGAAACAAATAAGGCCATTTGGGCAATGTCAACTACTAGGCGCGTTCAGATGACTGATCAGTTATGTCCTCAAATTGTGCTGAAATCCTCAGCAGAAATATAATGCATGCACCTACATATATAATGTTAAAGAATTATGTTTTGTGGGTCATCAACTTATTTTTATTCAAAAACTCTTTACTCCATATCTGCTGTACACGAGGCACAGGGGGTGTCAATGAAGTCTCAAAAGAAATGACAATTGTTTCCCTATAGGGAAATAGGACTAGTAGAGAGACACCTGTATAATAATTGACGGGAAATCTTGCTGTGAAATCAAAGTGGTGATTTCCTAAGTGTTTTAAAATAATTGCCATTATTTAGGGCAGACCATCTAGATCACATTAAAAACCCAAGTGGAAGATCCCACCCAGAGGGTTTTGTGTGGCCAGAAGGATGTTTTTAATACTTTGAATATGCATGCCTTCAGGACAGGCTCTACTCTCCAGCTAGGTCGAGGTCTTGCTGTCACCTATTGCCCTGCCCCTGCCTCTGTCACACTTTCATGCTTGGCTCCTTCCACACCTTTAACCATATGGACCACTGGTCCAGAGCAGCGGTCAGCAAGCTATGACCCATGGACGAAATGTGGCTCCAGATCTGTTTGTGTGCCGCCCATGAACTAAGGATGTTTTCTACATTTTTTAAGGGGTTATACATTTTTAAAAATATGTAACAGAGACGTATGTGGCCTAAATCATAAGATGTTTACAAACTTGACCTTTACAGAAAAAGTTTGCCCATCCCTAGTCTAGAGTAACACTGCCCAAGTGTTGATGAACTCATCCGTGAAGAGTTATTAAGCATGCACATCAGTTACTTCACACTGTCAGGGAAAACTGTGAAACACATGGGAAAGGGCAACAAAGAGTCCCGATAGTTGTTTCTAACACATTCCTCCAGGTAGGATTTTCTGATTCTATAGGGACTGCAACTTTCAGTGTCTTTAAGATATTTTACACACAACTCTGTAATTTCTAGGTAATCACAGCAATGCAAATGATTCTTGTCCGTAGAGGTGCAGATTAATTTTGTCTGGTAGAGGTGCAATTGATGTCCCCATACACTGTGGAAAAACCAGTTTTGCATCTATTTAGCAAATTCTTTTCAGCATTCTACGTTCCCCAGTTGTCTGATATTTAGTCACTTCTTTCAGCTGCTGTAACATCTTTCTGGTTTCTTCTATTAATAAATGGGTTACATAAAATCTTTATCATATGTTAATTTTATGTTTGTATGAGATTTACGAGTTTACCGTTTATAAAATTACCCTTTCATGATATATTAATTATGCTATATAGATATGCTATTGTACTAATGTAATATATATAATAAACCATAATAAGATGGAAACTCAAAAAGTATGAGTTAAAAAAAGTCAGTCTTTTCATACCACAGTGGGACGTGTACACCTTACTTCAGTCACTTTAATTTTTAACGCACTTCAATATTTTAGTTACGTTGATCTTGTAAAAGAAAACTAAGAACATTTTTTAACAAATATTTGAGGTCATTGAATTCAAATTCGCTGAATGCGCAGAAGATGTTTTTAGAAATGTTAAATTATGTTAATTACCCTGATATGTATATTTATGCATATTCATAAGTATAAGTGGATTTTTTTTTAATGTTGGATGGAAATGTACAGACTAATGATTAAGCATCACAAGTATAATGAACTGTTGGCTGTGGATTCAGAATTTCAAATGGAGCTCCATTATTCTCCTCTTAAAACATGCACTTTGATTCATTTATGTTTTCACAAAGCTAGTTCTCAACATCTTTGCCATCATTTAAAATGCAGCTTCCTTCTGAGAAGAGCACTCAATACTGCCACTGAAGGTTATCAGATGTCAGTGGTTTTGTCAATTACACTAATGGCACGGAACCACAGAACAGTGCCACTATTACCCAAAGCAACAATAAACTGAAAGATCCACACGTGGAGGTTGTTTTAGAAAAGTCTATAGCAGTGGTTTATGCTTTAAAAATAAATTGCTACTACTAGAGTGGTAATTTTCCAATTTATCCATTAAAAGTGCACTGCTGTTTTTTTCTTAATTGTAAAAAATTGATGCACACATATCCTTAAACACAGGATACAAAAGCAACTACCAGATGGGAATTTTTGTGATGAGGTCACTTGTGTGAAGAAGAATCTGTCTTTAAATTAATAGTGCAATTTAAAATTGAAAGGCATTTTCCTTAAAAATGTATTTCCCATAACACTAAAGCCAAAGAAACAAACGCAACACCGTGTGACAGTCCTCCCCTCCTGTATAAGTAGGGATTTATAAAAATTTCATTGAAAAATGAGATTGTTAAAACTCAAGAAATGAACAAAATTTATTAACATGAAGATTTCTATGAGTAGCAGGTAGATTTGTATCTGCCACAAATGTTTGTTAAATGTGATTAGATGTAAATATAATGTGGTAAGACATCTTACATCTCTTTTGGAGATTGACAATGAGTGGTGTTTACAATTGTGTGTCTTACATGCCAACACCTATTTCCACTACTTCCTTCATCTATAGTACTTACATGCATATAGACATATGGTACCTCTATTTGGCACTTCTATTCATATATGTACATGTTACTCCTACATAGTACTTACACACATAATTTATACACACACAGGTTGGTTTTTATTGAAATAATTTTAAAACTACAATTTGGCTTTGTGATATATAACATCTACACTAGCCCCTGGACTTTGGCATGTTCTATACGCAGCTTTGATTCATTTGGCATTTGGGGACTTCTCAATCTTGATATTTTGATCTTCTTTGGGGATCTCTCTGGTATGAAGGATTTTGACCTGCAGTTGCTTCATGATATGGAATTATTTTGGTTCAAACAGTGAGTCTGAATTCTTAATGAAGAGGGTAAAAATCACTAACACCTCCTTCCTGCCATCAAAATGATATACACTTAAGAAATAGTCTTCTGACTGATGAGCATATCCATTTATTTGGTCAGACCTCCCAGAATTGTCCCAGTTTGCAAGTTCTGTCTAGTTCTAGGCTGAAGAACTACATTGGTCCTAAAGAGCCCATGTCTGAACTCAATGTGCCTTGTTGACAGGACACGCCAATTGGTATATATGCCAGCTCCAAACAGGCCCCAATCAGCCCTCATATCGTCGGTGACATATAACATTTTGATATAACTAGAAAGGCATCAAAATGAAATAGAATGAGTTACTTCTTCACTTGTGTTCCCATTCCATTTTATTCTTAGCAATCATCACAATGTATTATTGATAATAATTTATGTTTGTATCTCCCTACATCGACTGTAAGCCCATGCTGGGCAGGGATCATGATTCATTAATCTTCACATCAACAACATCTAAAGTAGCAACTGACACAGAGTATAACATCAATAAATGCTTATTCTGTTCAAATGAATCAAATGAAACAGGTATTTTCAAAACTTGTTCCATAATTGAAATAACTCTGTGCTTTCACAAGTAGAAATCTGCAAAATAGTCTCTGCAGATTCATCAGTTGTATATATGTCAGAACTAGATACACTATTATGGATGGGATGGTTGATGAATCCATCCAATAGAAATTATGATCACTGACTACAACATTTAACTTCAGGTATTTGCATTGCCACGTCATGCAACACTAATGCAATTTAATCTTACACTTGCAATAAATCCCTAGAATCACAAAGAATAAGGAAAAGTGATATGGAATTCAATTTTTCTGGCCATTTTGCTTTTCGAGCTCATATGAGTATGAACTACTTATATAACTCAAAAATATGAACTTAGCAAACTCACTTTTTTTTTTTTGTGAGGAAGATCAGCCCTGAGCTAACATCCATGCCAATCCTCTTCTTTTTGCTGAGGAAGACTGGCTCTGAGCTAACATCTATTGCCAATCTTCCTGTTTTTCCCCAAAGCCCCAGTAGATAGTTGTACGTCATAGTTGCACATCCTTCTAGTTGCTGTATGTGGGACGCGGCCTCAGCATGGCCAGAGAAGCGGTGCGTCGGTGCACACCCGGGATCCGAACCCAGGCTGCCAGTAGTGGAACGCACGCACTTAACTGCTAAGCCATGGGGCCAGCCCCCTCAAACTCACTTTTAACTCACTGTTAAAGGAATTGAGTTAAAAAATAGAATTGTGCATTTAGATGCTATAGACACTTTAATGGAAGAAACAGAAAAGAGATAGTTATGTTTTGCAGCATGTTGACACCAAAACACATAAATTACAACTGCCATTAAGAAAATATTAAAAAACATAAACCTATTTATCAAAAAAAAATCCCATCTATAGCAGTAACTATGTCTATCAGCTTTAAGATAATTCCAAAACAACCTAAATTTCCCAAAGTGAAATTTTGAATTCAATTCTAGTTTTAACATTTATGTCATAGCCTACAAAAGCTATTTACATGATGCATTTAATTGACTCAAAAATAATTTTTCTAAGATCAACTAAAAAGGAACTAGAGAAAAGTAAACTTCAGCAAATGTAAATGTTTATGCAGATACCTACCATAGCTACTGACAAAACCTTCTTGCATGGTTGCTCAAACTAATGTAGAAATATACTTACTGAAAATAAGATCAATTGCTCAGAAAACACAGACACAGCTATAACAGGAAACCAAAACCCCAAAGATCCATCCCTTACTTCATTTTTTCTTTCATTTTGGAAAAGCTTGAAACTTTCAGATTTGTGGTATTCCAACGTTTTCATACAAAATTTGTCACACTCTATTTTCATATGCATGAACAACATTCATTTATTTTACAATGGGAAAGAGAGAAACCTATCAGATATTAGATAGCACAAAAGGAAATATTCAGATTTGCAAGTGTGCAAAAGTTAAGGCAGCATCCACCTGGGCATCAGGGAGGAAACATATCGTAAGTGAGAACATTTGCTTCCAAGGAGCACCCGTACCTTGTTTTTTTCCTGCAGTTCAATTTGCGATGTCTTGAAATCAGGACCTTGAGAGTGTGTACTTAATCTGTTTTTCCTATCCAGGAGCTCCTCCATTTCTTTCACCTGGACCTTTAGCCTTCTATTGTCTCTCTCCAGTCCTTGTTTTTCTGTTTCAAGTATTTCCCTCTTGTCCCACTCCGAGGTATTTTCAGCCTGCAATCTCTCTAGCTAAACAGAGAAAACACAAAGAAGCAGCATGTAGCATTAGTAATTGCCCAAAGGCAACGCACTCAGCAAACAGGCCTCCGCTAAGAAAGGTTCATGGATATGTCCATGTATTCAACTTTTAAGAAGAAAACTGTATTTTTCTGAAAAGTTGAGAACAACACAAAGGTCCTAATACTAGGCTATGCCATGGATAAATATAGCTTTCCTCTTGGTTCATATGACTCTACAACCATAGGAACAGTATTTGTCAAATAAACATGTTAAGTGAAAAACAGATGATATTTTGCCAACCATCTCCACTCAACTGATGAACATTTATCACTTGAGAAGGCACAAAATCATTTCTTGGGCAATTTTGATTGGATGGATATAGTTCATGTATTTATTCAGTCATTTGTTCATTTGTTTACTATACCTTTCAACTTCCAGGCACTATGCTAGTCACTGAGAAAAAAGACAAGTGAATGAAACAAAATATTATAAATTCTGTGATTAGAGTACTATGAAATATAGTCAAACTCACATGAGTGAGTGGCCAATTTGATTTTTAGGGAGTACAGGTTTGCAAACCACGGCCAGTGAGCCAAATCTAGCCCACCTATTTTAGTATGTTCCACAATAATGGTCTTCTTTTTTTAATAGTTGGAAAAAAGCAAAAGAAGAACACTATTTCTGACCCATTAGTATTATATAAAATTCAAATTTCAGTGCCACAAAGTTGCATTGGAACACAGCCACACTCATTTGTTTACACGCCGCTTATGACTTCTTTCACACCTCAATGGCAGAGGTGAGCTGTTGAGACAGAGACCATAAGGCCAGCAAAGCCAAAAATATTTACTATCTGGCCCCTTACAGAAAAAGTTTGCTTATCTCTGCCTTCGTCCCATGGTTCCCAACCAAGGCTGCACATTAGATTCTCTTGGGGAGATATTTATAATTACCAATGACCAGAACCCACCTCTAAAAGTTCAGATTCAATTCATTTAAAGTAATTTTAATGTTTCCCTTGGTCAGTTTTTATTACTTTAACTTTTTTATATTTAGATTTTAAAGAGGCATTATCAAATGTGTTTATTTTCTGCAGCTGTATTATGTTCAAATGTTTGCTCATTATTATAGTGAGGTTATTTTTTTCTTGTTCTGGATTTTGTAAGTAGAAATGATTAGTAGCTTTTAGCTCTAAATTCTAATCCTGAGCCTGAATTCTCTTCATGACTTCACCATTTATTCTGTGGATAAATTCAGTCGGGTAACTTCATCTCCCCGATGTGAATGATTTATTCTCTAATCTGACAGGGTTTGTGAAAAGAAAAATTAATTAAATTGGTGGGAAAGCACTTTGCATTGCAATGTACTACTTAGAGAAGAAACATGGTGGTGATATAATTTCAGAAAAAGAATTATATATGCATTTCTCCCATATATTTTGGCATATGTATATTCAAATGTCAAAGTTATTCATGGCATAAATCTCTATCGTGAAGCAGCTCTTCCCAGTAGATAAACTAATAGCCTCTGGTCCTGGTTCTGTCTCTCACTCATTGGTTGACTTTAGACAAGCCACTTATTCTTTCTGTTCCTCAGTTTTCTTAGTAAAATTAGGATGAAAATACCAGACCCACCAAATGTGTGGTATTGTAAGGACTGCATGAGATCAACTATTTGAAATGCTTTGTAAACTATGTACCATGATTAAAATATGAGGCATTTTTAAACTATTTGTTAAGGATAAAAATTGGAAATTACTTGTTTTTACTTTGTTTATTTTAAATGGCTTGATTACAAGGTATTGAATGGTATTATACCATTATATTTTTCACGCCCTTTTAAATACTAAAAGAAAAATCAACATAGTCTACAGTAGGAAAAATGTTAGACTTCAGTAATATCTTTGGAAATTAATTTTGATTAAAAAGAATCTAAAAACTGCTTTTTCATATACATATAATTGTACCATTACTGTAGAAAATGTTCTGTTCTCAAATCGAAGAGAGGCTCTGACTTCTAAAAAACAGGAAACCAAAATTACATTCTTGGCACTAGACCTTGCTTATCAATAAAATGTAATAAACTAAGGGATCAAATTTTAGACGATGTGGTTTGACATTTGGGGTGCCTATATGAGGTGAAAATAGTATTTCACAATTCAATTTTGAACATGACATTAATTATTAAGACTAATGCTTAAACTTTTTGATTATCATCGCATAATGTATCAGAATGTAAATAATAAAGCTGTAACAAAAAGTCATCAACTTAGTGATGAAAAATTAATTTTAGGAGAATAAATGTCTTTTTGGCCAAGGACAAATATGTTATGCCAAGGCTTTATAAAATTGCAGGCATTTAAAAAAATTGCTGCAATTTTATACCTAATAACAGATAAGAGGTAGAACTAAGGTTTTAAATAAGTAATATATTGTCTGAACGAATAAACGCTAAATCTTAAAAAAATAATTAAAGAAAAGAATGATTTTAACACCAGTAACAACAAAGCTTAAATAATGATGTCAGATTATTTACTATTTGCAGTTTTTTAATTGACATACCAATTGTTTGATAAATTTACATATATCACACATATCAAAAAAAGTAAAAGTTCTGTGAAAATTGGAACATCATAAAAAATTTAAGCAGTGTTATTTTTGTTTTCATTTTGCAAAATTCTTTCTTATCAGATCATTCTTTTCCAAGGATCATATGAAAATTCACTACCTTAAAAGCCACTCAATTGAATGCAACTTAAAATTATGAAAGAAAAATCAGGTACTATTTTAGCTTTCAGAGTATATCATAAGCAATCCTAATAGTTTTATCAAATTGAAATGGAATTCCATTGATTTACTTCCAATGATCAAGAGAAAAATCCTAAAATATTTTAATTCTAACTCTACTATACTATGAATTATAACTAATAGTAGGTACTAGTGTTAAATGAATTTCAGGTAATATAGGAATTATTGAAAAATATTTTCTAAAATTTTTAATGTAAAAGTATGTTCTAATCAGAGTAATCACTAAAATATTTGTTGATTTAATTATCTCCAATTTTATACATATGGAACATTGAAAAAATATATAAATGTTCAAACATTTAACTAACAGATATTTATTGAGTTCCATTTATATGTAAGAAACTAAAGAGCACTGAAGATACTATTGTCAAAATACAAATAAATGTCTAAGTATAAATTGGGCAGCATTTCATGAAGGAGGAAAACGTCTAGGGGCTATGAGAAAGACCTACAATAAATTAGGTAATCAGAGAAAGTTATTTGAAGACACAACATTTAAGCAGAAACCTGAAGTCTAAGAAGGCAGAGAGGCAGAATCCAGGCAAGAGTGTCCCAATAAAAGAAGCAGGAAATAGGTTTGAACATTACAGAGCCAAGAGTCCAATAATGAAGTATTAGTATTTGAGGAGAAGAAAGTACAAAAGGAAATTGGACAAACAAGCACTGGTTCTCAAACCTAAGTGTGAATACAAGAATTACTTGAGTTACTTGTGAAAAATGTAACATAGGGATTATTCCTCAGGATAGAATATTGGGTCATTTCTAAACATATTCATCTATTAACTCAATCTCCATCACTTGTCACTGCTTGATACCATTGAAAGGACGTCAAAGATCCTAATCAAGACAATAACCAGAATGTGTAAGGTTTATAAAACCGGAACCATATCATTTTTCTCATCAGCCTGGCACCTGACACATGCTGTATAAATGCTCCATAAATACCTATTGAATGAAGGAGAAAGTACATAGAGCTTCTCTGTATTTCAATGACAACAATTGGACACAAAGTGAAATTAAGATAGCACCCTAGAAGAGCCCGTTGTTTAACTTACCATTACCTAACAGCAACAGGGCTCCTCACTACATTTACTCTTAAGTCATATTGCTCTTGTCATAGCTGCATTGCACTTCATGGTAGCTGAATACAGTGAGGTAAAGAGAGGATTTTCAGTAAAATGACCTAGAGTTGAGTCCCAATGCTTTTCATCCTGAAAGCCTCAATTTTTCATTTATAAAATATGAGAAACATTTCCTATAGCCTAATGTTGTGAGACAGAAATTACGTTATTTAGGGGAAACATTTATTAAGCTTCCAAACCCAGCACAAATATTTCTTGTTATACATTTGTTTTCTAAAGAACAAACATATCAACAGCCAATTCAAATAGTGACAGATGAAAATGGTGTATTAATTTTTCATCATGTTTTATCAAGATCACAACCATTTTGTAAATGGACTTTGTCAACAGAAAACCCCCAACAGAATGCACTATATGGCATTGTGCAGGCCAGTGATGAGTCACGTAAAACCAATGTGGATGTTCCAATAATAGATCTGCAAATATTCAGAACTTTCATTTTAGACAAGTCTGCCATAAAACCTCATTACAAACACTGTGATTTTGGAAATAAGAGGTAAAAGGCAGGACGCTTGCTATTTTCTAGCAGTAAGAGATTATTACCCTTTTACCAAGAACCTAATATTTTCCCGGCAAAGCGCTCCATATTTATTTCTTATCCTTATAATATTCCTGCAAATTTGGACTTGCTACACGTGAAGAAACTGGAGTTCTAAGGATAGAAGTAATTCTCAAGTAGGGTAAAGAATCCAAGCCATGGTTCACCTAAAGTTTGTCTCGCATTCTAATCCTGAGCTCATTCTACCCACAACCACGCTAACAGATGGCCACTAATGTACGCAGATCCCCTTGCAGTAGTAAGCACCACATTCTGAATTCATAGTACTACACTATAGCAAAGGTTTTATAAATGTTTTGTTTTGTTTTGATATATTTGGAGGTTTTGACTCTTGTTTTGCCTCTCTCTACCAGCAAATCAGTCCAGGGGAGAGGCCATTCTGTAGGTGCACGTTCAAAAGTCTGGCAACTCAAACCTAAATGCAGTGTGTATATTATTGATGTCACCCGCTGGATCTTTTAACATTCTTTGTCTAACCAAGTCTTAGAATCACAAATAAGA